GGGGGGGGGGCGGTAGGGAAGAAAGGAATACAGTGTTAAGAATGTCATGGCCAAATGAAAAGTTATCAACTTCAATGGAAATGTGACTTCAACAGATTTGAGACCCAGCTCCACCATCCTTAATGTGTTTGAATGGGCTTCAATCCTGAGATACCAATGGTCACTGTACTTGACAGAATAGGGAACGTTTTCCACACAAAGCCTATTCTTAGCTTTCAAAACTTTCATGATTTTATTTATAAATATATACCAGCCATTCCAAACTGCTTGGAGAAAGTCTTTAGTAATTATCTAAGTCTTTTAATACTATAAATTATATAGCCTACATTTTCAAACTACAGACACTATCAGCTTTTATACACATGGGAAATGAGAATCATTTATTGTTAAATAAGATAACTATTTCAAAATGGTGGTAGTTGGGCTGTGGTAGTGTAGAGAAAAAGGAAGAAGACAATCTGAAACTATTATTTCAGAATACTAAAAATCTTAGAGTAACCACACTGTTTTTTCCAGGGATATTCCTAAACAGAACATCTATATGGAGATTAACGCTTCAATAGATCTTTTCAAAACACTGTCTCCAAGTCCACAGGCCCTAAAACACATTCTTTCCCAACAGAAAGCTTGTTGTTGAGTTGGAATTAGACCAACAGGACTTCAGAAGTCCTTTATGGAGGTCCAACCATTATTTTTATTCTTTGAGATTTAGCTGCCTAATGTCCAAAGCGTTGATTCTATTCTATTGCCCTGTTCCTTCAGATACTTCCAGGCTACAGGTTCCCAGCATGGCCTCTTAGAGTTGTCTCAGTCAGTCTTGACAAGCACAGAAGAGAACTGGAGAACCACAGAATAATGCTGGTTGGAAACAAATTCAGAAGGTCTCTACCCTGACCTCGTGCCTCACAGCAGGATCAGCAATCAAGCCAGACCAAGCCCAGAGGATTTAGATCTCAAAAGTCTCCAATGCTGAAGACAGCACAGCCTTCCCTGGGTCAGCCTCTTCCTCTGCTTGACTGTCCTCAGATGGAAAAAGATTTTCCTTACATCCTGTCTGACCTTGTTTCAGTTGAAGCCTTTTTGCCTCATGCTCCTGCCACACACTGCTGTGAAGAGCTTGGGCCATCTTCTCAGTACACTCATATACACTAAAAAATGCTGCTAGGTTGCCCCAAAACTGTCCCTTCTCCAAGCTGAACAAGCTCCATTCCCTCAGCTTTTCCACCCATACAGGGCAGCTGCTCCCACCCCTGATGTCCGGGTGGCCCTCTGCCAAACTCATACCAGTTTATCAATATCTTTCTTGTACTGTGGGTCCAAAACCGGACACAGTATTCTGGACACTAAACAAAACCTTGCTTGTGAGACTCAATTTAACAGGCAAGGTAGGTTTTACTAAATCTAAGCCTTCCCAAAACACAGATGATGCATCTCTTCTTCCTTCCCTTAAATTGATCAAATGCTGCAATCACTGAACAAGGGAAGTGTGGAAAGGGGGCCTGGAATCCTGGCTCTCCAACCTCCAGGAGAAAGCCTTACCATTAGGACCCCACCTTCAGGACCTCCCTCTGAAATGGACCATCTCACAAGAATACTCATGGATTTTCACAGTCGGGGGCAGGGGGAACAACAACAAAAACTACCACACAATACCTGCAAACTTGCATAGTCAGTATTAGGGAAAAGGGTACTAAGGTGTAGTCCCTGATCGAATAATGCATGCACATTTCACTTAACATTTAACCCATTTGTGTAAAGCAAGCTTCACCTGCA